GCGCTACAGACTTCGTTGGTCGAAGATGATTGAATAAGCGAAGGATTAGCGACGGTCGACTTGTGGCGACATGTTAATTACTTTCAGTGACGTCGCACCATCGAGCAGTCCGTCAAAATGATCTTCGAGCAAGAGAACAGAGAGCCTTCCTTTCTCCTCTATCTCAAATATCTTAACATCCTTCTAATCCTAACATAACGAATATCGTGAGGTAACGTTTTATCAACAATTCCCGGCAAGATTTTCGTATAACCCCATACATTTATTATGCATACAGTTCTTTGTTTAACTAAACAATAGAGTAAACAATGGCGCTCCTTTGAGACTTATTTGATTTGAATAACTCTAAACTTTACCATTTTTTTCTAAGTGTCGCATACTTTTAGACTTTTAGACTTCCAATTTTCCATCTAAAATACGCAAAAATGGAACGATTTCTTTGAGACTAATAATTTGTCGCGTTTTAGGTCTAAATTACGGAAATCCGATACGAAATATCATAATTTGGGCCGCATTTACCGTATTTTTAAACTGAGCGCAGGCTTAAAACTGCTTAAAATAATAACGATTTAGACCTGTTCGCTAGTTTAAAAAAGCTTAAAAATACTGCTTTAGGCCTAAGCAAAACCGGCTGCTTGCGGTTAGCGATAATCTGTTGAGCGGGTTAGCCACTATTATACTAATTTTGTAAATGTAAACAAAGTGAAATAAAAAATATAGCTTACGTGTCGCGTCTCTCGGCGTTTTTTTCCCCTTGATTTCCTTCCTAAAGTTCAGACCCATGCGATGAAGCTGTGTATTTTGTTTCTTTCCTCCATGAAGTGGCGATCAGATCACGAACAGTGCATACAGTGGTACGAGGAACAATTTACGCATCTTTGCGCACTTCGTACAAGTCGGCGATATGCTTGATAATGTTTCCAAAAGGATCATCTCCATAGTGCTTACGCTACATCCATTCCTGTAGGTAGCTTTCAAAGAGATCTTTGGATGTTCCTGTACGAGGCATACTTCGTTTGACTCCCCACCATGTATTTTCAATGCGCTGGGTGTGCGCACCTGCGTCTGGGTTTACGAAGTTTAGGCTGTGGTTAACTGTGAGATGACTATAGCCCTCATCTTTTAGGCAATCGTAAGCTTTCCACATGTCGCTCATCACGCGTGTCCCCCGCAATATGTGGGCGCGTATTATGGGCAAGAGTGTGTCTTTATTCCTTTGCGATACCGGAACAAGAAGGCAGGCCTTGGTCTCGCGGCAGATGCCGCCAAAGACCCACTGTCCTTTGATGTAGCGACTGCGGTTGTACTTCGTTTTGCCAAACTTGGACTCGTCAATCTCCACAGTCTTACCCTGTCCGCCTATTTGCCCCGCATGATGATTCATGATTCTGTCGNGGGACCCACACATGCGATGCATGTTTTCGTGCAGCGTGCAACATGCATTAAACACGTGAATAAGTAAATTGTAATGTTAATTTTTTGGAATGCGAACGAGTCAAGTAAAATAAAAATTATTTTTGGAGGAGTAATTCTCAACTGAACGTCGTAGTGTAGTGGTGTAGAAGAGAGACTGGTAAGCGAGAGGTGTGGGAAAGGTAAGTGGTTCGAGACCTGATGGGGTACAAGAAAAAAAAAGAAAAAAAATCCGTAAGGAGCCTGGGTAATGTGGAGAAGAAAGAGAGAAGAATGGAGCTAGGGGAAGAAAAGAATCGGCGAAAAGACAACGCGCAATAGCGCGCCACAGCATGCAATCAAATCCTCTTTTATTCACACAGTAAGTAGTAATTATCAGTGTCTATATTCAATACGTTAGGGAGTTGCTATTGTCTTCAAAAACAATAGAGTGCATACATAATTAATAATTCTGCATGCATAATAAATGTAGGGGGTTATACGGAAATCTTGCCCAAACTTTTACCCACACCACTCCTGGACAAAAAGGGACGAATCAGGAATCCATAAAAATGTTGTAATGTATTCTATTGTATCTTGGTAAACAATGTAATGAGAGAGGCACCTCTAGCAACCAAGCTCAGTTTGCAGCTATTAATAAGATTTCCATGGTCTGTCAGGTATATGTAGTTTTCAGATATTTGAATTTTAATTTGAAGAAACCTTTTTGGAAATGGTATTTTGTGAAATGAAAGTTAGGTGCCTAAGACACTTTGTTCATGTGGATAACATTAGTTTTCTTTTTCATAGACGTCAGAAAAACAGAGCCTTCTGTTATTTTTGTTCCTCAGTTCAAAAGTTACCTATGTGTGGAAACTGTGGTGAGTTGTATTTTATGGTTCTTGGTCTTGAACTTGAACTTTGGTTTATATTTATTTTATTTTCTTATATAGAATTACAAGAATTGCTTGCCCCTGCAACTACTAGTTCCAGAACCAATAATTGAGGCGAGGGCAAGAGTTTATATTAAAAAAGAAAGAAAGAAAAAAAGTAATTAAAAGGAAATAATCATTTCTGGCAAAATTACAAAAGGTACAAGTAAAACAAT